TCCATCCATAAAAGTTTAATCTTTCCCGTTGTTGTGCGTAATTATGCTATACCGTGGTATTTTAATCTTTATATAAAAGTCTTTTGCTACCCCCCCCCCCCCCCCCCCCCGTCCTCCCCTTTTAGGTGCAAAGCCTTAATCATTATTACATCCGACAGTCGGATTTGGTATTAAAGAGCAAATATGAGTAATATAGATTGCAATGTAGTTCTGCATCTTGGACTAGTTAATAGGTATCTCACCTTTCCGAAATTGACTTTAGCACCTTGGAGGATCAGTGGTTGAACTTAGGCGCTCCTTGTTTCGCTCCGTGGTCAGGGCCTTTGAGCTGGCCGTGATATGACCAAGTGTACGTACCTACTTACGTCAATAGGTATTTGGGTAGGCTCTTCTTGCGATCGCCGCTCTCAGCTCACTGTTTAACAATTCAAGTGTGTTGCTATTTACTAGCTCAGCGTGGCCTGTTTTTAAAAAGTAAGTTCGAAGGCTATTTGAGGGTACGTAATCAATGTGTACTGCCTTTATTCGAGATGCCTAAGTACCTACTTCTATTGTGGCGGGGCGGAATTTCTTCAACGTCCGGTATCATCGGCGGAACCGCAGACGGGATGAATATGAACGAAAATGAGGTGATAGGTACTACCAGAAACAGGCAACTCCGGCCTCCGACGTACACTCGTCACCGTATCAGCTCGATGGACACTTGCGTGCTGTGCAGGTGATCGCATATTATGGGGCTGTGTGCTTTAGACCTGCAAATGAGCGTTCCAGAGTGGCATATTGTGGGTGATGCGCCAAGCAACGCCACTTGTTGTCGAAACGTCCTACAGTACGTCCTACGTTTGACAGCTACAGTCAATACCTTAGGTACATGTCTCTTGCCTATATCCTACTTATGTACTTCCAAATAACAGGTATCATTCTATTGATCAGCAGCCGACCGAGGTGACCTTCCTTTCTGTCCTTCCTCCCAGCTGAGTAGTTCTCTCTCTCTGATCCTTCACTTCAGTTATCTCATCCTTCCTCTGTCACGCCATCTATCACAACCTCTTTCACTGTCACTGTTTTGGTCAAAAGATTCCATCAAACCCAGCCACGCCAGGTAGTGTAGGGGTGGCGCTGTGTCCAGCCAACGACAACGTGGAGCTTGTGGGGTCCAGGTACCTACCAGACGTAGCCTTTTGGGTGGTAGGTACCTAGGTAGGTAGCTTTATCGCAGCCTGTCGCCGCCGACCGATGCCGAATTGCCTGTAACCTTCTGAACAACTGAATTTCTGCTTCATCACAGAGACTCGGCACGTCGCGCCAATTCGACAACCGTATCCATCATGTTGTCGCTGAGTCTGCCGTCTTTGGCGTTGGCCACGCTTTCGTTATCGTGCCTCGCTATGGCCCAGAGAAACTATACCCAGGTCGACATGTTGCGCGCGCAGCTCGCTCTCCTTGACGATCGGCCTGGTGATTGTCCGCCATGGTAGGCTCATATCTACTTTGCACCTATAACGCGGATTTGGTACAATTGTCGCGGCTAACAAACCACTGCACAGTTTCAACTGTCTTTTGCCTGCCCACGAATGCGGCCAGTTTGCTGGCTGCAACGAATACAACGGAAAGTGTGAATGTCCAGCCGGCTTCGGAGGAGACGACTGCCTTGAACCAAGTCAGTATTCCCCGATTCACCTGACGCCCACATCTTATCGCTAAACGCTTCATAGCATGTGGCTCGCTCGGACGAGGCAAAGATCGGCCGATACGGGACGGTGATACCTGCAATTGTGATGATGGCTGGACCGGCATCAACTGCAATGTCTGCACTGAAGATAAGGCCTGCAATGCGCTGATGGAAACAGGAGAAGGGGGCGTATGCTACCAGAACGGCGAGGTGGTCCAAAACAATTACCAGATGTGTGGCGTCACCAATGAAAAGATTCTTTCCATGCTTGATGGCAAGATCCCACAGGCCACCTTCACGTGCGACAAAGAGAAGGGGTTCTGCGACTTTCAGTGTGAGTATGAGCAGTTCCCTTCTGGGCCAATGCATCGTCCCTATCCTGGTGCCTACTGACATTGCAAACAGTCTGGGTAGATCGAGTCGAGTCGTTCTATTGCCACCTCGAGAATTGCCAGTCAAGTGCCGAGTTCGACCCCAACCAGAATAGTACTTCCTACAAATGCCCGGATGTCGAATGTAAATGTATCACCGATCGATTTCTCTGCGGAGCGGACGGATCTGTGGATTTGACTGATTTCTTGAGAGAGTCCGTGGAAGGACCCGCCACCTTCAACTGCCTACAGCAGAATGGGGGTACCAACAAATGCAAGTTTAAGGAACCGCAGTTGGACTGGATGGTTCGAAGCATCTTCGGAGACGAGAGCATTGAATTGGAGTGTCGCGCTGGCGAATGCCTCTACCATACCGAGGTTCCTGGATACCAGCGGCCCATCAAGAAGATCAATACCCCTTTGATCGCTGGTGTCATTGCCGGCTGCTCTTTATTCCTCGTCGCTGTCATCTTGTTTACCTGGTACCTGGCTCGCAGGCAGTATAGATACGGACCAATCCACTTGGACGATTCCGATGATGAGGCCACCAAGCTCATGACCGACCACAAGCCAGCAACTGTGTATTTCGAGAATGTCACCTATGGACTGAACGGAAAACAAATTCTGAGCAACATACAGGGTGTTGCTCACCCTGGAGAGATCACAGCTATCATGGGCGCATCTGGTGCAGGTAAAACAAGCTTCTTGGATATCTTAGCACGGAAGAACAAACGCGGCCAGATTGGCGGAGAGTTCCTTGTAAACGGCGAAAAGGTTACCGATGCCGAATTCAAGAGCGTTGTGGGATTTGTTGACCAAGAGGATACCATGCTTCCTACCCTTACGGTCCATGAAACAATCCTAACCAGCGCTCTTCTTCGCCTCCCTCGCCAAATGGGCCGTGCAGCGAAAGAACAGAGGGTGTACGAAGTCGAGAAGCAACTTGGTATTTACCATATTCGTGACTCGCTCATCGGATCCGAAGAAGGCAAAGGGAGAGGCATCTCGGGCGGAGAAAAGCGTCGTGTGGGTATCGCCTGTGAACTGGTCACCAGCCCGTCTATTCTTTTCCTCGACGAACCCACTAGCGGTCTTGATGCTTACAATGCATTCAACGTTATCGAATGTCTCGTTACCCTGGCAAAGACGTACAAGCGAACCGTTATTTTCACTATTCACCAACCGCGTTCCAACATTGTTGCCTTGTTTGATCGTCTCATTCTATTGGCCCAAGGCAAGACGGTGTACTCAGGACCTTTCTTGCAATGCCAGGAATATTTCGACCAGATCGGTTACTCCTGCCCGCCAGGATTCAACATCGCCGATTACCTTGTAGATCTCACGATGCACGCTGGCTCTGGAGGGGCATTCGATGATGGGTCTATAACCCACGATGTGGGCAGCGTAGGTCCCAGCAGTACGAAGGCTGTCAAGTCCGTCGCAAGTCTGTCGGGCACCAGTACTGCGGAGGAAAGCTCCACTGAGCCCTCTTCAAGCCGACCCAGAAACAAGCGGAAGGACTCGGTAAGAGCACGCCAAGAACGAGAGCTCTTCACACGACGAAAGAACACGGCAGACACTGCTGCATCGTCCGATGCGGAAGAAGAGATTGGCGTCTACAAGTTACGAAACCAAGCTCCCGAATCCCTTCCACCTCAAATAGTTGTAGAGGATGTACACGACCTTCCGCCAGCTGCTGGGACCAACTTGGACAGTCTTGTGCAGTCGTTTGCCGACTCAGACATTGCCGGTAGTATCCACGACGAGATTCAACAGGCTGTTACTGGTGCACGGGATGCGAACGGCCAGAACGGAAGCGGCCCTAACGGCGCAAACGGGAATGGCCATGCAGGTGGCAGTGCCATTGGGCGTGGTTATGCCCGTGTAGGGTATCTCCGACAGTTTATCATCCTCTCTCAGAGGACCTGGAAGAATCTCTACCGCAACCCATTATTGATGCTGACCCATTACGCCATTGCTATCTTGCTTGCGGTGCTCTCAGGATACCTCTTTTATGGCCTGACGGACGATATTCCTGGATTCCAGAATCGACTTGGCCTCTTCTTCTTTCTGCTTGCTTTATTTGGGTTCAGCACTTTGACAAGTCTGAACGTATTCGCGTCCGAACGACTCCTCTTCGTGCGCGAGAGAGCCAACGGATACTACTCGCCAATCACGTATTTTGTTGCCAAAGTCCTATTCGACATCATCCCGCTGAGAATCATCCCCCCTATCTTGATGGGAGCCATCATCTATCCCATGACAGGCCTCATACCGGATGCGCCACACTTCTTTACCTTCATGTTGATCTTGGTTCTCTTTAACCTTGCAGCAGCAGCAATTTGTTTGTTCATCGGCATTGTGTGCAAAGATGGTGGTGTCGCCAATTTGATTGGAAGTTTGGTGATGCTATTCTCCCTTCTGTTCGCTGGGCTTCTTCTGAACCACGACGCCATTCCTGACGCGGCGATGTGGCTCCAGTCACTGTCCATCTTCCACTACGGGTTCGAGGCTCTCATTGTCAACGAGGTCATCAAGCTGACTTTGGTCGACAAGAAATACGGCCTGGATATCACTGTCCCTGGCGCCGCTATTCTGAGCTCTTTCGGATTCGACAATGCTGCCAAATGGATGGACGTGGTTAATCTGGGTATTTTTGCCGGGGGTTTTGTCGTGTTAGCATATTTGGCGATGCATTTCCTGCTTATTGAGAAGCGGTAGGTTTCTGTTCATTCCACCGGTGGAAATTTCAGCCGAGGTATATCTTTGCTGGGTGGTGTAAGCTGCGGTCCTACACC